TGGAAAAGCCCTCCAGGATCACACAGAGCCCACCCTGTGCCCCATCCCCACCTTGTCACTGAGTGCCACGGCCAGGCCTTCCCTGGACACCTCCAGGGCTGGGCACTCCAAACCTCCCTGGGCAGCCCCTGCCAGTGCCTGACCACCCTTTCCAGCAGGAAATTCCTCCTCCTGTCCAACCTGAGCCTCCCCTGGCACAGCTGGAGGCCGTTCCCTCTCCTCCTGTCCCTTGTTCCCTGGGAGCAGAGCCCGACCCCCCCCGGCTCCCCCCTCCTGTCAGGGGGTTGCAGAGCCAGAAGGTCCCCCCTGAGCCTCCTTTTTCTCCAGGCTGAGCCCCCCCAGCTCCCTCAGATATTCCTGCTGCTCCAGCCCCTTCCCAGCTCCCTTCCCTTCCCTCCCCACGTTGCACAATCGCTGCCCCGGGACCAAACCACAGCCCGGAAACTCCTCACCCAGAGCTCCTGAACCACCAGTTTACATTCTTTGCTACCAGTTCTGTGTTTCCTCCCTCCTTCAATGAATGAGCACAGCTGGTTTTTTTTTTTCCTTTCCAAGCCTTGTTTTCCCTGGAACGTTTGGCCGAGTATTGTTAAACTGCCCCCAGTTATTACTATTTCTATTCTTTATTTACTCAGCTGAAGCCAATCTCAGCCCTCCAGTCTCTCCCACAGCATTTGGAGGTGCTGAGGAGCTTCTCCTGCACGTGAATCAAACCTAACCAAGCCCTGATCCCTGACACCTGAACACTGACTCACTGGGGCCTGGAGCAGCCCTGGGATGAGTCCTGCACTGGCCACAGCTCCTCTCACACTTCAAAACCATTGTTGGGCTGTTTGGGTGCTTTTTATTAGTAGTATTTTTTTTTTGTTTCAATGGGACCACTTAGACAAAACCCCCAAGGTCTTATGTCACCTCTATAAAAACCCCAGCAGGTCTTTTTTGTCCTACGTTCCTTTTATTTTCATGTGATTTAGTGTTTGATATAACCCCCCTACTGACATTATTTCTGCACCAAGCCAGTAGCTGTTGTTCCCAGAGTTGTCCTTGTAGCACCAGGCCCTATTTCCCAACACTTTGGCTTTTCAGGGCACCATTTTTTTAAAATTTAATTAAAGCTGTCAGCACAGAGCAGATGTCCCTGAGCTGCCTCGCTGCTGCCAGGAGCATCCGGGCAGCCAGCCCAGTCCCTGCAGGAGATGTCCAGCCTTGTCCCCACTGTCCCAGTCCCTGCAGGAGGTGTCCAGCCTTGTCCCCACTGTCCCAGTCCCTGCAGAAGGTGTTGGGATGTGTCCCCATGTCCCAATCCCTGCAGGAGGTGTTGGATGTGTCCCCACTGTCCCAGTCCCTGCAGGAGGTGTCCAGCCATGTCCCCACTGTCCCAATCCCTGCAGATGTTGGGATGTGTCCCCACTGTCCCAGTCCCTGCAGGAGGTGTGGGATGTGTCCCCACTGTCCCAGTCCCAAAAGGCAATGTTGGGTCAGGAAGGAAAAGGCAATCCCATGTTGGGAAGCTGAGGATTGCCCGTTCCCAGCTGGAATCCCAAAGCAAACCCGGGGCACTTCTCCAGCAGCTCCTTCAGTGGCTCCTGCATTCCAGCACAACCCCCAGAGTGATTTACCTGCTCTGGCCTTTCCCTTTCCCTGCCCCCTGGGACTGACACGGGTTTGACCCGTTAATGAACTAAAGGGTCCTGGCAAAGGGGAGGATTCCTCCAGCTCGGTGCTCTGTGGCTCCTCATTCTGGGACCAGCTCCTGCAGCCTCCCCTCAGCCAGGCCCAGCCCACAGCACCACTCCTGGCCTCCCCCAGGGCACAGGGGATTTGTTTTCCAGAGGCATCACGGTGCCAACCGCTCGTTCCCTCCCTCCCGTCGGGGAGGGCACAGCACGGGAGCAGCACAGAGAAAAGGGATCTACAGAGGGAGATGTGAACGGATTTGTGATCTGATGGCACTTCAGACAGGCTGTTCTGGTGAGGATGAGCAGGATTTAGAGCCACAATGAGCCCCACGGCACCTCCTGGCCCGGGCGTGGAGCTCACGCTGGGGACAAGGGGCACCCTTGGCCTTGGGGGGCTGAGGAGACACTTGTCAGGAGAACAACGTTAATTTGTCAGGAGAACAACATTAATTTGTCAGGAGAACTCCATTAATTTGTCAGGAGAACACGGGCTCCAGCTCTGACTGAGCAGCAGCACAATCCTGCTGAGGATTCTCAGATTTGAGTGCGACTGCACCGAGGAACCCAGAGCGATTCTGTCCCAGTAAATCAGATCAATCCCTCACTGCACGGGGCTGAAGCAAGCATTGGGAAAGGGGGAAAATACTCAGTGGGGAAAGAGCTGGAGGAGACAAGCACAGAGCCAAGCAGAAATCATGTTGAGCAGGAGTCCAGCGTGGCAACTACTCTTCCAGGCCCAGTTCTGGGCCCTCTACGCTCTTCACACCAGAAAAAGCCACACTACAAATGAGCTTTGCAGTTCTCACCTTTCCAATATTTTGACAATTTAGCCTCCAGCTTTTCCTTAACGACCACGCTGTCAAAGGAGTGAGCAGAAGAGCCAGTCAATGAAACCACCTGGATTTGGGGAGGGCCAGAGCAGCACGGCCTGACACGGGACGGGCAGAGGGGGTGGGACATCCAGGGTTCAATACCTCGGTTCTCCACTCAGAAACCAGTTCCAGAAGAATTTGGTATTCAGGATGTCAAAAGGAAACCAGAGGAGCATCAACTGCCCTCACTCTCCAACCTGCAGATGATCCAGTACTCATGAAAATGGGAATTCTCCCATTTCCCTTGAACTGTGTCCCTGTGCTTTGCTCCTGCTCTTCCCTCTACAGCACATGCTATCATCCCCACGGATGAAAAGGGGAAGCAGAGTGACCTCAGGGCTGCCCAAACCAACACCAGTGCAACAGGGCTGTGTTAAAATCATCCCATCAGTTCAGCAGGGAGGGCACAACCACGGAGTGACAACAATTCCATGGAGCAGGAACCCCAGGGAGACGGACAGGGATGGAAAGCCCCACATCCCAGGCAGCAGCAATGGGGCTGAACCTGCTGCTGCTGGTACCAGGCAACGTTAATTTGCAGGTAAATCAGCTCAACATCGTCCTGTTTGTGCCATTTTAATCTGAGACAACAGAGCCTGATCCAACATGAGGGGGAGCAAGAGGTGACAGGGATGGGAAGTGCCAAGAGCTGCAGGCAGGACACGGCCAGGCCACACACCAACACCTCCTGCAGCCCTTCTGGGAACAGGATACTCTTAATAAAACTACTCCAAGCAATGTTCCAGAGAAACACTCCTGCCCCAGCTCTGCACAGTCACCATTCCAATCCCAGGCTCCTGTTTGCCGCCCCATCCCAATCCCAACCCAGGCACAGCCCCTGGCTCACCCAGCACACGGAAACAGGGATCCAGGTGGGTACTCACACGATGTGGGCGAGGTCCAGGGGCTTCTCTGGCTGCTCAGGGAACAGGGGCCGGGGGGGTTCCCTGCTGGGGACGCAGCCCAGGGACCTGCTGATGGCGTGGCTCAGCTTCTTCGCCGGGGATTTCTGGGGTGGGCAGGGAAAACAGGAGTCAGGGGG